CATTCATTCACTCACTATTCATTCACTCTCACATTCACACACTATATTCTCCAGGATGCTGTAGCAATAACAAATCTGTACCGTAACAGCAATCACAACTATAATCGCTCACAATACGCACTTCTTGATTGTGGTTAGAGGTCTGAGTGAAGGGGTCAGAATTCTCATTGCATTAGGGGGAGCCAGCAATCTGCATGGACTCGGGGGTCAACGTGAGAAAGGAAGTGAGAAGCCCACTACCTGAACTGTTTAAGTCAATAGGATGCCGCCCAAGGGCACATTGACTTCCCAGTCAAATCGAGCTGCTCTGTGCTCCAAGTCGCACTCCATTGTGAGCTTCAAAGACGAGAGAGGATGACAAATACTGTGCACAAAATGATGTTTGATGTCCATCACTTCAAAGAACACTGTTTGGCTGGCCTCTGATCTCATTCAGGCACTCTGTGATTTGACACATCTGTTACTCTACCCATTCCCTGACAGATCTGAAGGAAGTTTTACCCCAATACCAGACAGTTGGTTATTTGAGAAAGTGCCTGTCGTTGATTAAATGGATTCAAAGTTAATCATCTTACCCGGCTATCGCATTAAGCCTTGGCAAATGGTGTTCATCATAGCTGTGGTGTCTTTTAGCATGCTAATACTCGCCTTTTAGATTATGTCCATTTGCACGCTTAAAGAACGTGGGGAGCTAGCTGTTTCCCTTTCATCTCCATCCGAGATGCAATCAGCTTTTTCATGAGCAAAAAAAAAAAAAAGAAAAGAAAAAAAATGAGGCAATTTAAGGAAAGGATGAGAGACACCCACACAAGTTATTCTTCATCCTTAAAATTCTAACTGATAACGAGTGACCTATGAGGGGGGATATGATTGAGGGTGTTGATGGGGGAGTTAGTGTATCAGCCAATGTGCAACAAGGTGGATGACTGAGCTGGTGTTTTAATGTGTGAGCAAAAAAGCAAGCAAACTGCTCACGGTAAATACCCAAATATTTAATGATTATAAGCCTCTAGAGAAAAACTACACATGCTTTAGGTATCGTTAATGGATAAATTCATTCCTTTTAATTCTGCAGCTTTGGCCCACCCCTGGATTTGCAAAGGATCAGGTCCTAATCAAAGGGCTGTGGGCCACAGCATCCCTCCTGGACACACCAACCAGAGAATGCTGATTCCTCGGTTTCATTAAAGACATGTTCTGCCCTACAGCCCCTTAATCAAAATCTAGCAGCGGTCAATACTTCATCCAGGATCCATTACAGTGTCTCAGGTAAGAGCAATTACCTTTGGAGGGGTGGGGAGGAAAAAAAAAGCAGGAGAGGGGGGTGATAACGCTCTAGAGAAGACAGAGCAATTGCAGGGCCATTTTAGAGGAGCAGATTGCTCTAAGTAAATACACTGATTCATTATAGAGAGGAGAAGAAGAGTATGAATCCTACATCTTATCTCTGACTCTACCCAGCGTCTGCCTCATCCGTTTCCTGCTACGAACAGTCAGTTTACCAACTGCGGCAGGAATGGAGTGATTCATTGACAGCCCTATCTACCTTGGGATACATGTGTCATTGAACATTGGACCTGATAGGAGGATGCCTTTTTTTTTTTACTTGGTGACAACGAAAGTGCCTGTATATGTGTACATTAGGTAAGGAGCAGTTTGAGCTATAAATAGGGCTGAAATGATATGCAGAGAAGGAGTGGATGCTAGGAGCGCAAAGAGATAAATATGGAAATATGGAAATGCACGCAGTGGATTAAAATTTGATGAATTTCAAACAAAATTCCACCTCCACCATCATTTTTTTTCTCCCCCCGTAAGGATTGTGCATGTGTGTGTGTGTGTGTGCATGTCACTCTTGTGCAATTAGCTTCTGAAGTCACGCTTGACTGATTGTGAAGCTTAAATCCCAGAGCCCACAGGAAAACTGCGGTGTACAAGCAGTCTGCGCCAGAGTTGTTAGGGTTTGTAATTGCAGGTTTATGGGTTCACAGGCCGGTAAATCTGCCCATGTACAGCTAAACGCTCTAGCGCACTAACCGTAGCATCACTCCCGTTCACCTCTATCAGTCATGACAAGTCTCCAAACTCTGGGTTTCTCTGTAATGGGAGGCGGGGGAGGCAGCATGATGCACAAAAGTGCAAACGTTAGATGCAATGTGCATGCGAGGCAGTGGAAGTCTCACAAGACGAGCATAAAAGGGTACAACGCTCGGTTTATTTATTTATTTTAATCTTCTACACTGAAAAAAACCTCAAATAAAACCCGACATGATGATGATATTCCCATTTGACTAGCAGAAATCAGATTTACAGGCCTACCAAAACATTTGTTGGACAAATAGGCACAAGTGAGTGGTTTGGATAAAAGAGAAATTGAAGACTAAAGAAGTCACTTCATTATCACATCAAACCATGGCTGC